GACGCCCTCTAAAGGCGTCGCCCGCGGGGGTGAGGTTGACGGTTGGCGAGCGGCGGTGCGCTCCGCGTGTTTCGCTTCGCGTGTTTTTCTTCAGCGGCTTCGTTTCGGGAAGCCAAGGGCACGGGCAGCAGAGTGGGGAGCACACTGTTCTCCCAAACCTGCAATACGTCAATATCTTCATTCATACAAAACGCGCGCCCTCCAAAGGCCGTCGCCCCGCGCCCGCAGCCGCCAAGCGGTCAAAAAGTGCAAACGTGCAGCGGCAGGGGCTCAGTAAACGGCCGCCTTTCCGATGCGTCTCGCGTCACTAGCGGCATAAATGAGGCTATCGGCGCCCTTCTTGCGGAGCTGCCTGGGATTGAGCAGAGCGGCCGGTGCGACGATAGCCTGCACGGCGCCGTGCACGGCGGGGCCGCTGACCCGATGTCCGGTGTCCTGGAGCGCCTTGCAGACGCTCTCCCAGTACTTCCACGCCTCCTTGCGCGAGACCCCGTTGCCGCCGGAGGGGCGTTGCAGCGCGTGCGTCTGCTCGCACGTCGTGCCGTTGGCGCCCTCCAGCGACACCTCGTTGGGCACCAGCTGGTGGTGCACACGCGGCGCAGAGATCGCGTCCGCGAGCCAGTCCCCAAAGTCCACCACGTTGAGCATCGTTTGCAGCACCCCGCTCACGGCTTTCGGGCCCCCGGACCCGCCCAACACCATGTACACGCGCCCGTTCCTCAACACGATCGTCGGCGACATGGACGAGATCGGTCGCTTGCCGCCTTCTACACCGTTTTCCTTCGAAGGGTACATCCCGTACGCGTTGCTGCGCGACGCCGACGTCGTGAACGAGTCCATCTGGTCGTTCAGCAAAATTCCGCTTCGGACTGACATCACCCCAGACCCGAATGGCAGGTTGATCGTCGACGTCACTGCAACCCCAGTCCCATTACTGTCCAGAATACTCACATGCGATGTCCCGTCCTCCAGTCGAGACATTGTGATTTTGTCAGAATAATGTTTCGGTCCAAACGTCCGGTCGTCTTTGATCCGGAACACACGTTTGAGCGCTTCACGACGATTTAACATCGACCACACTTGTCTCTCGGCCCCAGTGACAAACCCAGGGTCACCGAGACCCATGCGAGCCCCGAAAACCCATTTCAACGTTTCCGTCAGCAGTTTGTACGTCACGCTGTTTCGCCCTTTCCGTCGAAAGTTCAACTCCCGTACCATGTTGAGCGCCATAGCAATACTCACGCCTCCGGCGCTCGGCAGTGGAGCCCCGATCACTTCAAACCCATGATACTTTGACCGAATGGGATGCCGAACAATTGCCCGATATTGCTCAATGTCTTCAGTCGTCATTATTCCCCCCGCCTCTCGGATTTCCTCGGCAAGGGATGCTGCCAAGTCTTGATATACAGCATCAGATCCCTTCCTAGCCACGCTTTTGAGAGTCTTCACGAGCGCTGCATTCACCATCTCGTCACCTTCTTCAAGAAGTTTCACTGTATACGTTGCATTTCCATCCTCCGCCGGCGTGGCACCTTGCGCGGAAACCCCATGATTGTCCTTGTCATTAGCGTCAGTAACTACAGAGTCGTCATTAAGAGTCTCGACGACGCCTCGCGCTGCGCTCCTTTCAAGCAAATCATCACCATCTCCAGCTTGCCTGCGTACGCCCGGAAGCTCTACCGAAGCGGCAGCATCCTGCTCGCTCTTTGCCTTTTTGGTCAGCACTTTCTTAGTAAAGATCTTGGTCAAAGATGGTGACGCCAAAATGGTCTCATTCATTTGCTGCAACTTGACGGCCAGAAACTTGCCAACCTTTGCGTTTTCCGCAATTTCGATCGTCGGCTCGACTACCTGCTTCCACTTGAGCACCCCCCACTGCTGATGCGCGTCATACAATCCTCTCAGCTCCCCGGGCACAGCAATGGACAAGCCTCCAAACTTTGCGTGCGTTGCGTTCTTCTTAAACAGGACCATCTTCGCGGCCGCGGGGGCCACCTCACGTGCGTCGTAAAACGAAGACACCGCCGTGGGCATGTGATGTATCAGAATGAAAGCGCCGCCGCCCAAGCCGGATGCGAACGGGGCTAGAATGCCCTGGCACAGCACGGTCGACACCATGGCGTCGACGGCATTGCCGTGCATCTCCTGCAGCACCCTGACGCCGAGCTCGCTGCACAGCGGGTGGTCGGCGGCGACAGCGCCGCGCTTCCCGGAGAGCATGGACGCGGCCTCGTCCAAGCCGGGCGCGGTGCCCGGCGCCGTGGGCGCGCGCGGCGCGACGAAGGAAAGGATGGCGGGGACCGAGAAGACGAAGACGAAGAGCGAGACGAAGGCGCACAGCGTGGCGAGCTGGGTGAACGCGATGTGCGGGTCGCGCTCGACGGACCAGCGGGCGGGCACGCGGCGCCACGCGCGGCAGAAGCGCTCGAACAGCGTCCGATCGTCCGGCGCCAAGCGCGGGGACGAGAGCAGCGACGAGCGCGGCGATGAGCGCGGCGAGACGCCCGCCACTAGCCCGTGCGAGTCCAGGTCGGCGTCGTCCGCAGAGGCCGCGCGCGTGAGCGGGAGCGTGACGTGGTCGTCCTGGAACGCGGCTGACATGGCGGGAGCGGGCGGGGACGGATCGCGCGGCGATGTTCCATCTTCGGCGCGCTTGGACGGCGCGGAGGCGGAGGCGGAGGCGGAGGCGGAGGCGGAGGTGGGGGTGGGGAAGGGGCAGGTGGGCGAGGGCAGAGAGGAGGGCGACGGCAACACGGCGGAAAGGTTGTGCCTGGGATTGGTGCGCTGTTGGAAAATTGATTGCTCGATTAGTGTTAGTTGCGGGACCGGCAGCAATTCCAGAGGCGCTGGTGCCAGTGGCGCTGGTGCCAGCTCATGCCGGCCATACTGTAACGGAGGAGTGGCGGTGGGATACACGTGTACGGATAAGACGCCGTACAGGGGTACAGAGGTCCTAGAGTACCTTGAGTTCGCACGAGGAGCTGCATGATCTCACTCCAATCATGTGTGTTTCCTGATCCTATGTCCCGACATCGCCCCTTCACCAATATCCAGTCGTGATGCAGTCCAACAACTGCAATGCTGCACGTAACGCCCTCGCACACACTCTTGAGTCGCTCGTTTTCGAGACAAAGACCACACTCAAAGAGTACCGCTTAAGAAAACACAAGGCTCGTCCAAGCAGGACATCCCACTTGCAAAACATGTCCGTGTAAATCATGTCCGTACACACTGGCCCCTCGCCTCGCCCAAGTCTCGGGCCCTCATGTACTTACGCCATACGGTATATCTTGTGGCATCTCTTGTGGCATCAAAGAATCAAAGTTTTGGTCGCGCTTGAGGCGCATACGAGTGTGTTTCCTTCAAAACCCTGACAAAAATACCTCTTTTCTTCCTGCAAATTGCATACGCATACAAAAACTGTTATTGTGACTATTGCCATCTCGTGACATTATCATCCGTACGTACAACAGCTATCAGCGAGCGAAGGAGATGTTACCGGCAACCTGCTACTCACGCTCTCCGTACTATCGGCGAGGGTCGCTTGCAATTCTGCGACGCCCATTGCAAATAGAATCATTGAATCTAGCACAGCACGGCACATGTTCCATTTTTTCTCCCTCCTCAATAAATTTTTTTCTCTACTCAGCAACTTTCTCACGCTTCTACACTGTCGACAGTCAATGAGATAGCACAACAGCTGCCCGTAATCCAGCCCGAAGAAGCTTTCTGATCGTCTTATTCACACAATGCCTCGATTCGCCTGTCGAGACCGATGTCGCTTCGTCCAAAAACCATGATCACCAGAGTCTTTCATCAGGCACCTGCCAATCACAAGTCGATGAATAGTCCGCTCTCGACCCAAGTATTGAATCGTGTCGTTCCAGCAACTTCAGCCGTGTTTTGAATTGCATCTCGAGTTGCACGTAGTCTCCCGAGAGCAATTTCGCTGCAATCGCCCGCGAAATAACGTACGGATGCTGAGAAGCGACTCCGACGATATGCTCTCTCAGGTCGTGTAGGCCCTTCCGCACTGAATCCATGAGATTAAAGGGCAAGCGTCAAAACGTGGCGTCGTAAATCGAAAGCGGGCGTTGCAGTTTCCAACTTCTCCTTGCCTCCTTCGGCAGCACCCTAACGCCTCAGCGATCATAGAAACACGTGTGATCCCTAGACTCCCTGTTGACAACACATTTCGAAAATGAACTGCTCTAATATTGGTGCCAATGAAATAACAGTCAATGTCGAACAAAAGGCTTACGAAACCCTACGATACAGGTTCCATACTGTCTGTATCTGCAGCTTCTTTCACATTACGTTCAATGTCTAGACTCATAGCCTTATTGCGGTGTAATCCTATCAAAAGGCGGTGATGCACGACCGACAACCTGCAACCAGTAAGGCGAATGCCGCGACCAGGCCAGCGGCAGGCACGAGCCTTCCGCCGCGCGGGGCGCGGGGGGGAATAACGGTATGGCGTGAGGTGAAAAACGGGAAGATTCCACACTGGCAGAAACGCATGGGCCCAAGTGGACCATTCCGCCATTCTCAGCAGCTGTTCTTTTTCTTTGTTGTCGCACTTATTCTGCACATGAATCTCTCGCGAAAGGTGCCCCCAATTCGAATTCCACCGCAGTGTGGATTGGCCACTTGGAAATGCGCCGCTAGAACCTAAGCGCCGAGCCTCGGAGCCCGTGCAGTTTGCAGGGTGCGGCGAAACAGGGCGGCGGCGGCCGAGGCGGCCGCTATGGCAAGCAGCACTGTAAGGCAAACGAGTAGAGCGAGGCGTCTGCTTGGCGTCTGCTTAGCGTCGGCGACCTGATGCAGCGCCTTTCGGATTCCAAACGCTCGCAGGGTCAGCTGACTGCCGCGTCGACCGAACGCCTCCACGAAACGGCGGAATGTTTGGCCAGCGGGCCAATGTCTGCCACCAAGGCCTACG